GGGAAAGCTGTGAGAATCCCAGAAAAGCTGTGAGAATCCCAGCAGCACACTCCACCTCACTCTGGCATCCCACCCCCTGCTCTCCCAGGTATGGGGAGCGCCATCACCCCTCCCAAACAGGAGGGGACAGCAGTGCCAGGGCCTGGCAGTGGCCAGCAGAGCCCGCAGACAGTGCCAGCCCCATCCTGGTCCCTGTGTCACCTGCCAGGGTGGCTCTGCCACCCGGCAACCCCGCCCCGGGCCAGGGCCACCCTGCTGGATCCGTGCTGGGAACAACTGGGAGCTATTTCCCAATTTTGTCACCATGCCACGCTCCGGGATCCACAGGAAAACATTCTTTCCTGTCCCACTGCATAAAACCAAGCTGGCTGTAATTTTTTTTTTTTTACATCACCATCCAAGCTGAGCTCCTGGGAAATGTTTCCATCGCAGGCTCACTCGCTCACCTTCATCATAATGCCGCCTGGCCTCGGTGCCCGGCTTGGCCCTGGGCACTCCGTGGTACAGCCCTTCTCCGACAAAATCCGTGTAGAACAGCATGAAGGTCATGAGGGCCATCCAGCTGCACAGCTCGGCCACGAAGAGGCGGCGCACCACCCTGGGGATGCGGCAGCAGAGGCCGTGCAGCCGCGGCAGCAGCGCGCACACACCGCGCAGAGCCTGCAGGACGCGGCGTCCCCGCGGAACGCAGCAACCCCGCCACGGCTTCACCGCCGCTTCCCTCAGCTCCAAATCCCCCCGAGCGGGTTCCTCAGTCACAAAGAGCGTGGCCAGCACGCAGGAGAGGAAGATGAGGGCCAGCAGGGTGAAGAGACAGCTCTGCTGGCCGCCCAGGTAAGGCGCCAGGAAGGTCCAGTCGATGGCGGGCAGCAGGTAACCGATGCAGCCCCCCAGGCTGATCATGAAAGCATAGACGGAAAAAGCCTGGCGGCAGCTGTCTGGCTCCTGGAACAAATCAGACAGCAACGCTTCCAGCGGCGTGAAGCAAACCTGGCCGCAGAAATCCAGCAGGCTGATGCCCAGGATGAGGAAGGAGATCTCCAGGGGCCGCGGGTTGAGGGAGCAAAAGCCGGCCAAGCTGCTGGCGTGGGGGATGAGGAAAAGGCTGAGCAGCACGCCCAGGCACAGCGCCCAGATGAAGGGTCTCCTGCGGCCGTAGCTGCTGCGCCAGTGGTCGCTGGCCGAGCCGATGAGGGGGACGAAAAGCAGCCCGAGGACGGGGCCTATCCCTGGGAAAGAGACAGAGGGTGTTACAGGTCGGTTTATGGGCTGTGTGCACCATAAAAAGGGTGAATTTGGGAGGTTTCGCTGGGTCACAGCCCCATCCTCCAAACCCAAATCTTCCCTCGACAAGGATAACTCCCCCTGCCCTCACCCAGCACCCTCACCCAGCACCATCCTCCAAACCCAAATCTTCCCTCGACAAGGATAACTCCCCCTGCCCCTCACACAGCCCCATCCTCCAAACCCAAATCTTCCCTCGACAAGGATAACACCCCCTGCCCTCACACAGCCCCATCCTCCAACCCCAAATCTTCCCTTGACAAGGATAACTCCCCCTGCCCTCACCCAGCACCCTCACCCAGCACCATCCTCCAAACCCAAATCTTCCCTTGACAAGGATAACTCCCCCTGCCCTCACCCAGCACCACCCTCCAGACCCTCCGAGGGTTAAAAACCACCTGGCAGAGGTGCCCAAAGCCGCCTACCCAAAACCATGGTCATGAATTTCTCCTCCACGCCCACTTCCAGCAGCAGTGGTGGCACGTAGGTGATGCCGGCGGCCAGGCACACCTCCAAGCCAAAGGTCAGAGAGTTGACCAGCAGCAGCTGGGTCCGGCGGCTCTGCAGGGACATGCTGTCCCCGAGCCCTCAGTGGCACAGGGCTGTGTCCCTCCAGCTGCACAGATCCCAAATGTGGCCCCCAGGCAAGGATTGGAGTTGCCCTTCCCGGGTTGTCGGGGAGATGGTGCTTCCCATTTTCTCAGCGGGGATGGAAATGTCCTTTCCTCTTCCTCGTGTGATGAGTCCAGGCAGGGATGTTGCTCCAGGCTGCTCCTCCTGCTCACAGGCTGCAGGCTGGGGAGAGAGAGTGTTAAACACTGCAGGGATGGGCTGAGAGCAGGGGTCACAGGGGTGTGACACTGCTGGAAGGGACAGTCCCCATCCCAGCGGGCTCTGGAGGGCCTGGGAGAGGGGACAGGACACAAACTGCAGCCGAGGGTTTGTCACAGGTGAGACAGGCTTTGGGAAAACCCAATCCTGCCCTCAGGCTAAAGAGGCTGGGTGACCTCAGTGTCCTCACTGTCCTCTTACAGATGGCAGAGAGAGGGAGGATTTGGGGTCTCCTCTCCGGGGAAATCAATTAATTAGGAGTTCTCTTGGGACAGCAGCCACATGAGGTCATCTCCAGTGCCCCTGCCCAGTGTGCAGGACATCCCCTGGAGCATCAATTCCACCTCAAACCCATCTCCAGAGCTCCTGCCCGATGACAAGGACATCTCCTGGAGCAGCAATTCCACCCGAAACCCATCTCCAGAGCCCCACCACGGCCCTGCCTGATGACCAGAACATCCCCTGGGGCATCAATTCCACTTCAAACCCATCTCCAGAGCCCCTGCCCAGTGACCAGGACATTCCTCAGGTCAGCAATTCCACTCCAATCCCATTTCCAGAGCTCCTGCCCGATAACCAGGACATCCCCTGGGGCATCAATTCCACCCCAATCCCATCTCCAGAGCCCTTGCCCAGTGACAAGGACATCCCCTGGAGCAGCAGTTCCACCCCAATCCCATTTCCAGAGCCCCACCACGGCCCTGCCTGATGACCAGAACATCCCCTGGGGCATCAATTCCATCCCAATCCCATCTCCAGAGCCCCCCACACCCCTGTTTGATAACCAGGACATCCCCTGGGGCATCAATTCCACCCCAATCCCATCTCCAGAACTCCTGCCCGATGACAAGGACATCCCCTGGAGCAGCAATTCCACCCCAATCCCATTTCCAGAACCCCACCACTGCCCTGCCCAATGACCAGGACATCCCTCAGATCAGCAATTCCACCCCATCCCATCTCCAGAGCCCCCACACCCCTGTTTGATAACCAGGACATCCCCCAGGACAGCAATTCCACCCCAATCCCATCTCCAGCCCCCGAGCTGAGGCACCGGGAGCCTCCGTGGAGTTTCACAAACAAACCTGACCCACTTTAGCCTCTAACGGCGGATGGTAATTACCTTACTCATTAGCCTGAGTCATTTATTTGCCCTGTAACTGCTCCCTTCTCTCTCTGAGGCTCCTTCCGAGGGGAGAGGCCACAGAAATCCTCCRAAGTTTCCTTCCCCAGCATCCAGCCCAGTTAAAAACCCCATCAGGAGGGTGGCCTGGTGAAATCAGCGCTCCCTGGTTCTCTCTCTGCTCTTTTTTCTCTTTTAAACTACGCATAGATTTGATTTTTTTTTTTAACAAAGAATAAATGGGCGAAAAGACACCCCCAGCACTAAGAAAATCATGATTTTGATTCCTGAGCTGYTGATCTGTGAGGACAGAGGGTGGAAAAGGAAGATTGGGGAGGCTCAGGGAGCCAGGACTCACCCGGTCCCTGCAGAGCAGCAGCAGGTGCTCCCTGCAGCTCCCAGCCCGGGCACGGAGCGCTCTGGAAAAGCTGCTCCAGGGTTTGCAGGGCAGCAGAGGTGGAACCCAGCTCAGCTTTGGTTTCAGGGCCCTCCCTTGCTGCTGATAACAGCGGTGTTATTGCACCAAACCACTCCTGTGCCCCAGCCCCTCGCTGAGCTCTGAGCAAACACTGTTGGCACCCCAAAACCGGCCCCAAACCTGGGCTCAGCTCTGAACCTCACCCCCAATTCCCTGATATTCCTGTTGGTCACCCTCACTCTGGTGCTCCCCATCAGCCAGCAGAGATTGAGGATGTGGGGTTTTGAAGTCAACAAAGTGGTCCTGCAGCTCTGCAGGTCCCCAAATGGCTCTGAGTGACAGCAGCAACACCAAAAACAGCTCCTGCAAACCGCCAGTCCAGCCTGTCCTGGGGGATCCATCCCATGGATGAGGCAGGATCCATCCCCTGAATGAGAAAGGATCCATCCCATGGACCGTGTAGGACCCATCCCCCGGATGAGGCAGGATCTATCCCCTGGATCACACAGGATCCATCCCCTGAATGAGAAAGGATCCATCCCCTGGACTGTGCAGGATCCATCCCATGGACTGTGCAGGATCCATCCCTTGGATCACCCAGGAGCCATCCCATGGATCAGACAGGATTCATCCCTTGTATCACATAGGATCCATCCCATGGATCACCCAGGATCCATCCCCTGGACAATACAGGATCCACCCCCTGGACAATACAGGATCCATCCCCTGGACCACGCAGGATCCATCCCCTGGACAATACAGGATCCATCCCTTGAATCACACTGGATCCATCCCATGGATCAGACAGGATCCATCCCTTGTATCACATAGGATCCATGCCCTGGGCCACACAGGATCCATCCCCTGGACTGTGTAGGATCCACCCCATGAACTGTGCAGGATCCACCCCATGGACCATGTAGGATCCATCCCCTGGACCGTGCAGGATCTATCCCCTGGTCCACACAGGATCCATCCCATGGACTGTGTAGGATCCATCCCTTAGATCACACAGAATCCATCCCCATGGACCACGCAGGATCCATCCCCTGGATGAGGCAGAGGGACTGGTTTTCCCCTGGCGTGGAAAAATCAGGAAAATCCATCCCCCAGCRGGGAGATCCCGGCGTGACAGCAGCAGCTGCACCTCAGCCAGGAGMGCTGGCAGCACCCTGCCCATCCCAGAGGGATTTGGGACACCTTTCCCAGCCTCACAGTCTGTGTCACGCTGGCATTTCTCACCCTCTGGCCTCACTTTCCCCAAATTCCCCCAGCGTGGACAGAGCYTGCCTTCCCTACGGAGCACCTGGACCAGCAGAACCCCAAAAAGGGCCACCCCAACCCCGCTGGGTGAGGTTCCTACACTCRGGAGCAGGAGGGAGCCACATGTGGGGCTCTCCCACAGCTGCGTGCCACGGGGCCCTCAGCTCTGCTCTTCCTGTTCCCTCCCCGAGGAAACAAAACCATTTTCCAACTGCAAAGCCGACTGTTCCCTCCCTTTCCCTGCAGAGAAACAACAGATCAATGCCAGAGCTGCCTCACCTGGCAGCCAGGGAGGAGGGCGGGTCCGGGGCACAGCAGAGCGTGGCTGGACAAAGGCAGAGAGGAGAGGGTGAAGGAGAGAAGATTTTGGGAAAAACAAACCCCAAACAGCCGGGAAAGGATGTGCAGTGCGATGGACACACATGAAAGGATCCTCTGAGACTGAAAGGATCCTCTCCTCCTCCCCAACCCTTCCCAACACCGATCTCAGAAGGAATCACACCCCAGCAG